GTATGTATGTATGTATGTATGTATGTATGTATGTATGTATGTATGTATGTATGTATGTTTAATGTATGTATGTATGTTTAATGTATGTTTAATGTTAGGGCATTAACAGAGTACTCGAGTAATCTACACATCGATTGCTAGGACATCTATCGAGGTTAAAAATGTAACATCGAGTATCCGTAGTGACATCATATTATGTAACCACTGTATGACCGTAGTGGGCGGTGTTGCACTGTTGCAGGTCACAGAGTATGGTGTAACACCGGGTCCAATCCACTGACCAGAACCAGTTTCGGTTTAAGTTTCGTTTTTGACGTGCTGCATGTTTCTTCACGTTTGCAGTTTAATAATAATAATTAATAGTTTAGTTTTTCCTGTGACTTATTTGCAGTATGATAAATGGTAGGAGCATAATATACGCCCCACTAAACATTAGACATCGAATGGATGTGCAGATCACGTTTATATTGAGTCCGTCGGTCTAGACCAATTCTGGACGTCTCCACGACGTGCAAACAAAGTCCACTCTGGACGTCTAACCATGACCTCACTTGCACGTCAATATAAAGTTGAGTGTTTGAACGTCGGACTTGGAGGTCGTATAGACATCCAAGACAGGTGCAGGTATGCCTTAGTGAATCATAATTTTTATAACCATAAAATTTACAATCATAATTTATAATCATAAAAGAGTAACTGTGCACAGTTACTCTTTTATGATTATAAATTTGCACGGCTTTGCTATTTTATCTCAAAGCTATTTCTGTTAATCCAGTAAAGAGGATAAAGAAAAAAATTTAAGGAGTGATTTATTTGTAAAACTTAGTCCATCTGTTTCTAGTGACATTTAAGGAGTGATGATTTAATTGTAAACCTAGTATCTGTAGTGCGTGGTTGCCTGTTGCACAATAGATGGTCAAATATACTGTTTCTTTAGCTTTGTTAGCCGCACAGAGATGAAGCAGCGGCAGAGCAGTCGGCTTTGAACCCGAAGGCCCTGGGATTGAACCCCAGTCATTCCAACATCCATCTGAGGGTGAATGTGTTAAACACTGCATGGGAACGTACAATGAAGACAACACGAAGCACTTACTAATTATATTATTTTCTGAAGTGAATAAAATAAGTTAAATTTTGATGTAGAAAATACGTCTATATTGACCGTCCAGTGGACGTCGGACGAAGACGTCGTCTGTCGTATCAGTCTGCACCTGGGAGGGATCCAAATTAGACGTGCAAAAACCACTTAAAAAAGACGTCATTTAGACGTCTCCTTGCTCAGTGGGGCTCCCAATGTTTTGTTGGTCTTTTTTTGTAAATAATTACCTTTTTTTGCGGTTTTATTTATTTATTTTTGTATCTTGAGATCTATGAAGTCATCAAATACTCGAGTTCTACTTGGGTTTTATTATGTTAATGTAGAGTTTAAAAATTATATACTCGTCCAACCCCTATTTAATGTTTGTATGTTTAATGTATGTATGTATGTATGTATGTATGTATGTTTAATGTATGTTTAATATATGTATGTATGTTTAATGTATGTATGTATGTATGTTTAATGTATGTATGTTTAATATATGTATGTATGTATGTATGTTTAATGTATGTATGTATGTATGTTTAATGTATGTATGTATGTTTAATGTATGTATGTATGTATGTTTAATGTATGTATGTATGTTTAATGTATGTTTAATATATGTATGTATGTTTAATGTATGTATGTATGTATGTATGTTTAATGTATGTATGTATGTATGTTTAATGTATGTATGTTTAATATATGTATGTATGTATGTATGTTTAATGTATGTATGTATGTTTAATGTATGTTTAATATATGTATGTATGTTTAATGTATGTTTAATATATGTATGTATGTTTAATGTATGTATGTATGTATGTTTAATGTATGTATGTATGTATGTATGTATATATATATATATATATATATA